CTCTGCCGTCTGAGCTTTCATTGTTTTGTGTGTCAGCTTGACAATGGATACCTCACCGCATTTGGGTGTCTCATAGATGACACACGGCAGAGAGAACCTGCTGCCTTCCCAGACCTCCTTCTGGACGCTGTGTCCTTGGGCACAGTGCCGTCACTTGGTCCTCACACTGGCTAGTCTGTCTTCTTTCCCCCGTGGCACCTGTCTGTCTCCTGTCTCATGGAGGCGTCTCTCCAGTACTTCTCAAATTCTCGCTCCTCTTTGAGCACTGCCCTAAGTGAGAGCCCTCTGTCTCTTGCACGGGCTGTTGCAGGGACACTGGCAGTGGCCCATTATTGATCACAGCCCAAGTTTTATCTTCCTTTCTCTATAGAGAGAATCCAAATCTTATCTGTCTTTATCAGCTACATAGAGCTTTTGAAAAAATGTCTAAGCTAGGTGTGGTGGTGCTCACCTATAATTCCAAGACTGGGAGAATCTCAAGTTCAAGCCCCACCTGGACAACTTAGAGACCTGTGTGGGCAAAACAACAGCAACAACAAACCAGCTAGGGATACAACTCAATGCAAGGGCCTTGAGGTCAGTTCCCAGAGCAATAAAACAAAGCTAAGTCAGAGTGTGTCCATTTTCATTTTCATCCTCACTTATACAATAGAAGTCATAAGAACCTTCTCAGGCATGTACCTGAAACGTGCTCCACATAAACACGGTGGGTGCTCAGTAAGTGCTTCCGTCGTTGCTGTTACTATCTAAGGCTGTCTCTTTGCTGTCTACCTTCTGGATGAAATTCCCCAACTCTCCATGGGATTTGTTACTTTCTTTCTCTGTTTCCAGACCCCTTACAGATAAAACCTAAACTCGAGAGAGCCAGCATCACTATAAGACTTCTGTGGGTGCTGGGCAGCGGTGTCTTCTCAAATCTCTCTCTCTCTCTCTCTCTCTCTCTCTCTCTCTCTCTCTCTCTCTCTCTCTTTCTCTCTCTCTTTCTCTCTCAAAAAGCTAAAAATTAAAACATTAAATTTATGGCCAGGTGTTCTTATTTAAAGGAAATTTTGATACCCCTCTGGTCCCTTCAAAGACCCTTCGGCAGGGGCATTGTCCTTACTGTCACAGGCGCATGTGTCTTCCCAAGAGGAGTACGAGCTTCCCTCTGTCAGCCTGCTGGGGGAGCCCCCTCTGCTCCCGGGAAGATCTCCCTCCTGCCTTCCTATTTTCCCGTTTTGCTTCCTTGCTTTATTATTATTTAATTATTTATTTGATACAGGGTCTCACTACACAGCTTGCATTTGTAGCGATCCTTCTGTCTCAGCCTCCCCATTGCGGAGATTAGAGGCATGCACTGCCACACCGGGTTTTGGGGCTGACATGGCATGCTGTACTGGGAATCAAACCAAGGTCTTAGAATTGCCTGGCAGGTACTTAGACCACCAAGCTATCTCCCTAGCCTACTTTTACCATTTTGGAATGATCTTATTATACGTATAAAGCCATTTGCCTTTAGATCTGTCAAATGTTAATATAGCCACCCCACTTGTCTTTGGGTTAGTATTTATTTATTTAAATATATATATATATATATATATATATATATATATATATATTCTGTTTCCATTCTGTGTTTTAGTATTCATTGTTTTGGTTTCTTGTAGCTCCATATAAATTACTACAAACTTGGTGACTTAAAACCACAGAAATCTTTTCTCTTATAGTTCTAGAGGACAGAAATCTGAAATCTGTGTGTGTGTGCGTGTGCATGTGTGTTGAACCCAGTGTCTTCCCAACGAGCTATATCCTTGGCCCTTTATACAATTTTTGAAACAGGGTTTCACTAAGTCACTAAGTTGCCCAGAGCTTGAGCTTGTGATCCTCCTGCCTCAGCCTCTCAGAGTACTTGGATTATAGACAGAGGTCCAAATTTTTATAGACACTTCAGTTTAGGGCCAGCCAGATAACTCAGCCGATTAAAGTGCCTGCTTAGACAGACACAGGGGCTGTGGGTTTGATCCCCGCCTCCAGGACACGTTTGGGAGGCTATAAACATGAGGATCACTATGAGTCTGATCTATGTAGTGAGACCCTGTAGACCCTGTATTAAATTTAAAAAAATAGATATTTCAGTTTCAATTGTATTTCTCTAGAGATTCCAGAGTTCCTTATTATTTTTTTAAATGTATTTAGAACAGGGTCTATAGGGTCTCACTACACAGATCAGACTTGTAGTGATCCTCCTGTTTTCAGTCTCCCAAGTGCTGGGATTATAGGCACGTGACCACCATTCCCAGTCTCAGTTGCCATCTCAGTGGGCCCTGGTGGGCGGGGCCAGCTCAGCTTATGGTGCCAGGGATCGAACCCCAGTCCCTGCGCCTGCCTAACCTACAGAGTTCCTTATTCTCTGCATGTCTGGACTCTAGCACTGTACTTTTAGTTAATGGGTAACCCCACCTGCCTCTCTTTCAGCAGACATGGTCTCAAATCTGGCATTAGCTTTCTCCTGACCACTTGTTTCCCTTTCTTACAAGCTCCCTTATACATTTTATACAATTTATAATTATTTCATTGAGTGCTTCCATGGTAAGGTGGAAAGGTTTCATGATGCTTGGCTCCTTATCTTCCTGGAAATGGAATTATCTGCTACAAGAGATTTTTGAAAACAACTTCATTGAGGATTTTATATATCCCATGTCATTCATCCACTTAAAAATATAGTTTAGTGTGTTTGAGTATATGCACGAAGTTGCATAGCCATAACCGCAGTCTAACTCTAAAACATTTCCAGCATCCCTGAAAGAAAACCTATACACATTAACAGTCACTTCCCACTTCTTCCCTGTAGCCTACTAAGCCTAAGCAGCCCCTGTTCTATTTTCTGTCCTTACATATCGCATATAAAGCAAATCACAGACCATGTGGCCTTTTGTGACCATCTTTGTTTGCCTGACAGTCTTCTCAAGATTCACGCAGGTGGCAGTATGAATCACTACTGCATTCTTTGCTGTTCCTGAATGTCCCATTGAGGGGACAGGACACATTGGGTTTCTCTGTTCACTGCTTGGTGGACATTACACAAATATAAATAAGGTCACAAAAGGCCACATGGTCTATAAATAAGGTTGCTGTGAACATTTGTATACAGGTTTCTGTGTGGACACACGCTTTGTTTTGCTTGGCTATATCCTTAGGAGTGGAACTGCTGAGTCCCATGGTGGCTACATTTGGCAGTTTGAAGAATTGCTGGCCCCTTTTCCAAGTGGCTGGTCCATCTTAATTTCCCATTAGTAAGAGATATTTTAAAACCAAGCAGAGGTGTTTGAACTTGACCTAGAAAGTGTTTTGAGCCTGACTGAGAAGACGTTATTGGAGTATTTGTTGTATGCTGATGTGGAGTGTGATATTAAAGATAAGGAATCAAGGCCGGTGTGGTGGTGCAAGCCTGCTGTCCCAGCTAACAGGAAAGCTGAGGCAGGCAGAATGTAAGCTTGAGCCCAACCTGGACAATTAGTGATGTAGTGATACTGTTTCAATATAAAACAGAAAAAAGGCCTGGGGATACAGTTCAGTGTGGAGTCGCTGAACCCATTGCTGCCAAAAATTAAAATAGGATGTATAAAAATCAAATAAAGACCAAGAACCAGTTGAGAAATGTTGGGTAAGCTAATCCTTAGCTGCTGGGAGGATGACAGGGAGAAAAAGTTAGGATCCATAAAGAACATGTTGAGCTGTGGCCAAAATTCTCAGGCAGAAGAAGGCTGTTCATCTAAGGTCGACTCTGACCTGCCTGCCTAAGCTTTGCTTTTGATCTTGACGTTACAGAAAATCCATTTCTACTTTCAGACAAACAAAAAAGCAAATACGGGCCTTGCGGTAGTGTGATGGGGAAGCGGGAGCTGAGTGGACTGGGGGGTTTTGCGCTTGCCCAAGGACGCCTTCCTGGAGGTCTGTGTCCACCTTTGCTCAGGTAGAGGCCCAACCTTTAGAGCCTCCATGCACACCTGTAGTCCGTATTCATCCTGCTAATAGTGTTGAAGGCATGCTGGGTACTGGATGTAGATAAACTGTCCCATGTGTGAGTATGTGCTCATGTGCTGTGTGTGTATGTGTGTGCGCATGTGTGCGTGCGTGCGTGCGTGTGTGTGTGTGTGTGTGTGTGCTGAGTAGCTGGCACATTTAAAATGCCTAAAGGGAACAAAAACCATAACAACTGAAGTTTCCCAGCTAAGTAGTGAAACCTACCATAGCTGAGGATTTAAAAATTGCCCATCAAGTTGTTTATCGTCTAAATGGAGCAATAGCTGTAAAGCTGCCACCACTCCAGGAACTTGAGTTGCTCTGGGAGGCTCATTACAGGGGCCCACTTTTACTTTACTTAGCGTGGTTATCACCCTTAGGGGTTTTTTCTTTGTGATTTATTCCCTACCATTTTGTATTTCCTTTTGCCATTTAGAGGAAATTTAAATAAAACCATTAGGTGAAGATCCCGCGTTAGGCAGTCACATGCTTTAAATGCACAATAAAAGTCAATCTGCATCCTCATTCTTTACAAGAAAAAGAAGCCCCTACTGTTGGGCAGTTACCTGGTATCTGCTTCTCTCACTCTGTGCTGTCCCCTGTTCTTTCTGAAAGGCCCAACTTTGTTGTGATTGTCTCATGGAGGAAAGAAGCTAGGCATGGAAAATAGTCCCAATTCATGCCATTTTGTGGGTTGTTCTTGGCCTTCATTTTTTCCTGTGTCTCTCGGTCCCTCCTGTTTATTGGCCCCTGTTCCAACTTAGTTCCCAAAAGGCCAAAGAGGATCCTGCTGGTCAGTCAGTCTTTAACCCTACAACTCTTGTTGCCTTGATCTTGCTCTCCATGAAAATATTTTTAGAGTATGTACCAGGATAAATACACTGGATGTAATTTTTTGTATGGCAGATGACTGATTTCTATGACTATGTCTGAAATTTGAGGGCCATATCTTGGTATGGTACCTTTCCTATAATTCATTTTCCCCTCTCTTTTGGTAGGTTTATCCAAATCCCTTGGGCTCATTGAAGGTTATGGCGGACGGGGCAGAGGAGGCCTTCCTGCTACCCTTTCCCCAGCGGAAGAAGAAGAAGCCAAGGGCCCCCATGAAAAGTATGGCTACAATTCCTACCTCAGTGAAAAAATTTCACTGGATCGTTCCATTCCGGATTATCGACCTACCAAGTAAGTTCTGCTTCACTCATTCAGATGTGCTTTCTTGGTCATATGATTGTGTTCCTCTTTAAATTCTATGATATCTTCTCATTTGTAACTAACATAGGAACTCACTCTGTGTCTTCCATAATCAGTCAACCAAGAACCGTTCTTCATGAAATGTTAGATAAATAAAAAAGTTAAATTGTTATCACAATGATGACGAAATGTACAGAAAATTCTCAGTACATTGTTTTCATTTAAATATGTCACCATAAAAATATATATAATACCATAATCGCATTACCTAAAGATGACAGCTATCAAAGCTTTAGTATATTGAGCCTAGTTGTATTTAGATTATGAGCCTATGACAGATGGGTTTTATTTTTTTATTTGACTTTATAAGGTTTTTGAAGTTATTAATTATGATCATTATTTCTACTATTGGAAATTTCAGTTACTTTCAATTTTTCATTATTATATTTAACATTAATCAATATTTTTTCTCATTCACATCTTTATGTGTATTGATTTGATATTTATTTCCTTAATCCACAGTTCTAAAGGTATAGTCCTTGTGTCACAGTTTAAAAATATTTTTGGAGGTTTTAGGGACATTTTATAATGTTTTTGTCAAAAATTTTTTGGAAAGTGATATTATTATTAGAATTTTATTACACACAGTACTGGCATTAGCATTAAAAGATGCTTTTCCAAGTTGATAGGTGAGAAAGTGTATTCTGGTATTGTTTTAATATAGGAAATGACAAAGGACCTCCAAATGATATAAAGAAAATATAATTCCCAACCTCCTACATGTCTGATACTCCAGGTTTGTGTTCCCCGAAATCAAAGAATGAATTCTAAAGGATAAAGGAGGTGGAGGTCAGGAAATATTTCTTGAGGCGGGAGATATACAACTCCTGAGAGGCAGGGGGGGTCCCCAGTATATTGCTGAGGACCCCACTTTTCAAAGGAAGCTATTTATAACACAACCGTATGGGGTACAGCTGTGAGCAGCCAATAAGATTATAAGTAAAGCCACTCAGGTAGTATTGATCCAGCAGGTAAGTCTCCTAGCAAGTGTTTATAGAGAGAACAAAGAACTTTTCAGAAAGGGATGAGTCCATCCAAGGGTCTTGGTTACCCACCTAGGAGAAATGTATGCCCGGTCATTTCATCTTTACCTTGAGAACTGACTTCCAGCTGATGTGCCTCTGGCCACAGTTGTTATGAATTTTCATCTTTGTACTACTCTCTTGAGGGCCCCACCCTACCTGACTGCCTAGAATATTTCTGCCTAGCTTAGCTGTCCATAATACGTGCAACTCATAATTCTTTTGTTTGCACTTCTTTCCTTTGAAAAAGTTTGGATGTATCTTGGTTGACTTATGCGAGGTCTATGTTTTGTACTCTCACATTTAGGAATCATTTTCCCCATTTTAAGTAAAGAAAGGAGGTCATGTGTAGAGCCTAGATGTTGGATAGAGAGTCCCTATTTTCTAGGTAGAACTTCACCATGGCTTTTCAAAGAGATTCTCCATTTTCTGTTAGATTTGTTGTGTCGCTGTTTTCCCATTTAGAGTGTGCCCTTGCTCTGAGTAGATTATTTCTTTTTCAAATGGATTTTGTGCAAATCAGTTAAGTATTCTGGTTACTGAGAAAAATAAATTCAAGATAAAGAAAATTATCTTAAATGGATTTAAAATTGCAGCATTAGCTGAGAAACCTGTTAAATCTCCCTCTCCACCTAATAAGCATACATTCATTTTGAATCACTAGGAAAACATACATCACCCCCTTCGCGAGCTATTTTGTGTTCTTGGACTTGAGCTCTCAAAAACATCTGGCTGTTTTCATTTCCTGTGCTCTGTGATTAGCCTTTCTTATTTGGATGTTGGCAAATAAACGTCCCATATTATTTTTTTTTTTTGCTCTCCTATGCAAATGAAAATGTCTCCACCATGTAACTTACTGAAAAGTGGGACAGTTGAACAAATATTGATGAGCACCTATTGTGTATTTGGTGGTTTTCCCCACATTAGAGACAGAACAGTGAGTGAAACACTGTCCTGGTCTACTTACTTCTCACTTAGGGAAGGAGACAGATATGAAACAGATTCAGGTTTGGCACAAGGTGACAGATGTGGGGTTGGCCACGCAGCAAATACACACTGCATGTGTAGGGACAATCTGAGGGTTTTCTACCTGAGAGGTCTGAGCTAAATCTCGATGGAAGTAGAAGGGTTAGGAAATAGGAGAGAGGGGTAAGGGTGGATGAGGATGGAGAGCAGCCAGAGTGCACACTGGCCTGGGAGGGATGCGTTGCTCAGAATAGCTTTGTGCTGAAACATGATAATGTAAATTTAACACTTACATGAGGTCTCCTCTGTGAAAGCTGAAATGACAGAAAAGAAATAAAAAGAGTGGCAACCCTAAACAGGGTAGGGGATGACCGTAAGGAAGAAACATCTAGAAGGTACTTGACAGTGGGAAGAGAACAGCTAAATGTATGTGGGGAAGCTGAGACCTCACCTGCAGGAGATGATTAGGGATGGTTAGGGAGGGAGGATGTAGCTCAGTGGGAATGCCAGGGTGAGGGATCTGAGCCTGCCCGGGTATTTCTGATGACTGGGAGGTGCATTTGAATAGAAAGGGCTATAGTTATGTCACATATCCTTTTTTTTTCAATGTTGCATAGCCGGACTGCCCTCCCCACCCTCATACGGTGCTGGGAGGTTTTCTCCCTGGTGAACTCTGGGCTCTAGTTCATTGAGGGAGCTTAACACAGAGAAGAATGAAACTGCCAGCCCAATGGGACATCTTCTATTACTCCTCCATGCTCTCAGAACCCTACTGACAGGAGTTTGAAGACTCCACTTGAAGTAAAGCAGCTGAAGGACCACATTATAGCTCCCACAGTTGGGGGCACCCCAAAATGCCTAGGTTCTGTTCATTTTCTATCAATATGGGTGCCTCTTGTAAAACTGTCCTTCCACCCAAAAATCAGAAAGGACCGACTGGGCCTTAGGCAAATCGGCAGAGCCTAGTATAAATTGCCTTAATAGTAGCAACAGCAGCAGGAAATAGAAACCACGGACTTTAAAACTGTAATTGACTTGGAGAACTCGTGGGATAATTTTGTCTTGTTCACAAAACAAGAACAAATAGCTATGTGACTAATAAGTAGAATAAAAAAATAAATCTTGAGGGCCTGCCAAATAGTTCAGTGGATTAAAACACCTGCAAGCATGCACAGGGGCCAGTAGTTTGATCCCTGGGCCTGCCTTGCCAGACCTGCACCCGAGGCACACTGAGACAGTAATAGAGATAGGCATGGTGGCTCGTTCCTGTAATCCCAGCTCTTGGGAGGCTATAAATAGGCAGATCACTATGAGTCCAATCTAGTAGTGAGACCCTGAACACCCTGTAGATCCTTCGCTAAAAAAAAAAAATACAAATAAATAAATAAATAAATCTTGGAAGTTAAAAATTAGGCAGAATTAAATCATTCAATGAACAGTTGGATGCTAACACGGAGGAAACCTTTTGAACAATAGAAAAAAGAGATGAAAAACGAGAAAAGATCAAACAGGAATTAGATGAACTCACTAGATTCAACATCTACTAACAGGAATATCAGAGAAAACAGAAAACACAGAAGAAAGTCATCAAACAAGCGACACAAGAAAATTTCCCAGAACTGAAAGTTTGTTAAGTTTTAGGTCAGAAGATCTTAGCATTTGCATAATTTATGAAATGAAAAACATTAAGCATATATCAAGGAATCTAAGTGTAAAATTTCAGAACACCTTGGATGAAATAAAAATCTTAAAAACTTTGAGAGGAAAAATGTTGATCATATGTACTTGGTGGTGGATTTCTCAATAGCAACATTAATGAGTAGAAGATAGTGGGACAAAGCCTAAGTACTTTTGCAAGAAGAGAATTATTTGTACCCTAGAATTCTATGGTCAGTCATAGAATACATTGGGCCAGGAACAAGCACAAAGTAGTTGCATTGCAGGTACGCAGGGTTGCAGCAATTTTACCTTCCTTGCGGTGTGTTCTCAAGAAGCTGCTAAGCACATGCTCCAGTAAAACAAGAGTCACATAAGAACGAGGTGATAGTACCTAGCCCAGCGATGGTGATCATTTTAGAGATGGATGTCCAAACTGAACTAAAAACCCACTTATTTACTCCAAGGTGCTAGTACTGCAACTAAATTGAAACACTGAGCTTTTAGTTGAGAAAAAACAATGGTTATCTGATACTTGGCTGCCGGGGCAACTTGGTTCCCATGTGGGCAACTACTCATCTAGGAAATGGAAACTCAAGTGGGAGAACGCTAAAGGCACATCCTAGAGAAATGCTCAAGGACTGTTCCGTGGTGACAGCAATGAGGCAATGCAAGGGACCAGCCGTTCCACCACTCTAGGAGGTGTGTCATGCCTAAAGGTGGTTGGGGGGGATTTAAGCGTTTTTTGACCTAGTTTTTAATTACAGTTGTGGTGAGCATTCCTTCTGAAGGTTTGGGACAATTTACTTACAAATATAGAAAACTAAGTTTGTGAAAAAGCAAACAGTCATTAGCTACAGATAAAAAGGACCCCAAAAAAGGAATTTCAACTCCATATACACTATGGTTTAGCTTATATATAACTATGTAAATGGGTTTATTGCATGATATAATTATATAAATATAAATATTGCACATAGATTTATGCACAAGTTACGGCATAACTATACAGGCAGGAGATGGAGGCAACATATATGTGGCATAGGTCTCATAAGGAAATTCAGTCTCCATCTTTTGTAACAGAAAAGCAACTGCAAATATTTGAAACTCATACATCAAGAAGTAGTAACATGATCATGATTATTCAGAAACATGGAGATTACCGAAGTGTTGTAAGACTGTGATAGTCAGCTGATGGTGTCAACTTGAGTAAGACATGCGCCGCTGAATTGGATCAACATGGTTCTGGGTACAGAAGACCTGGTCTAGGGAGGATTGTCTCCAGAA